GGCCTCAGCCTCCCAAAGTGTTGGGATTATAGGCTATAAAGTAAAAAGAATTTTCTAAATAAACGTGACACTTTAGTGGAAAAATGAACACAACCAAGAAGATTTTGAGTCTGACACTTAATTGCTATCTGACCTGGGGCAAATTACTTAGCGACTATGAACCTGCTTATTTCCTTATCGCTAAATCTGCCCTTCCTACTTTACAGAGAATTTATGAGAAACAAATGACACAGGGCAGTCATTAGTATGTGAAAGTCCTTTGCATACCATAATGTACTATAATTCCATGAAGCATTATTAAAGTAGGTTAAAAGGATAATATTCCAGTATGTTCCTGGGTATCATTTTCACATACAGAAATACAGAGCAGGGTGTGGTGGCTCATGCCTATAATCCAACACTTTGGGAGGCTGATGTGGGAGATCTTTTGAGCCCAGGAGTTTGAGGCCAGCCTGAGCAACATAGTGAGACCCCATCTCCATCTCTACAAAAAATAAAAATATTAGCCGGATGTGGCAATATGCACCTGCAGTTCCAGCTACTAGAAAGGCTAAGGTGGGAGGACTGCTTGAGCCTGGGAGGTTGAGACTGCAGTGAATTGTGACTGAGCCACTATACTGCAGCCTGGGTGACAGAGACTGTGTCAAAAAAAAAAAAAAAAAGGAAAGGAAATTCTCCTTGTCTTCTGGCCCTATGAGTTACTCTAGCTACTCTCAAGCGGAGCCCTGTGTGAGACAGACTTCTAAAATTAAGCCAGTTGAAATAGCTTACTGTGCTTTAGGGTCATTATGTGGTCTATTTGGTCATCTGTGCACTCTCAGAATGCAGCAAAGGGTAAGTCCACAAGGGTGCAGAAAAAGCTTAGAGGGAAAAAATATATGCTGTAGTTTTTGCATTGTGCTTTTCTGTATGAATGAGTAATAGCATTACACAAAGAACCCCTACAAAGAAAGAGCTGAGGTAATTGCCTCATGACATTAGTAAATGATTTCAGCACATAAAGGGAACTGGATGGCAGTAATTCAAGCAGTCTAAAAGACTCTGAAAAAGGCCACAAGCCTTTTTCAGAAAAGAACCATAGATTGCTACCAATTTAGAGAAATCAAATGTTCTAATCCACAAGATAGAAATTAATCAATAAGCAAATTTTAGGGTGACTGACATCTTATCATTTGAGAGTGATTTGTGAACAAAAGACAAATTATTTCCTACGCCAACTATTTACCATATTTTCCAGACTACATACTATAAATAAAGCCAAAATTTCTAACATATTTTTCTCCTTCATCCTTTTTATTAAATCCTTCAAAAAGAGCAGCTCTAAATTTTCATCAATTCAGTAATTCAAACAGTTATGTGTTGAGTGCCTCCCAAAGAAGCTAACTGGTGGTGCACTCTAGAAGTTATCCCAGAAACCAGGTGCATACAGGACAGCAAGTGCAGAGTGAGAGCCTTGACCCAAGATGTGCTTTATGATGTATGCTGTAACCTCTCAGGCAGTGTACAAAGAAAGATGCAACTAAATCCTGTAAAATGTTAGGCTAATTTTTCCCTGCAAGAGTGGCACAACTTTTTGTTTGTTTGTTTGTTTGTTTTAAGAAATGGGGTCTCACTCTATCTCCCAGATTGGAGTATGGTGGATTGATCTCAGCTCACTGCAGCCTCGACCTCTGGGGATCAAGCGACCCTCCCACCTCAGCCTCTCAAGTAGCTGGAACCACAGACATGCACTACCACAGCTGGCTAACTTTTTAATTTTTTGTAGAGATGGGGTCTCACTATATTGCACAGGCTGGTCTCGTCCTAGGCTCAAGCAATCCTCCCACCTCGGCCTCCCAAAGTGTGGAGATTACAGGTATGAGCCAACACACCTGGCCACAACTGTTGTATTTATTTATTTATTTATTTATTTATGAGACAGACTCTGGCTCTGTCGCCCAGGCTAGAGTGCAGTGGCACGGTCTCGGCTCACTGCAAGCTCTGTCTCCTGGGTTCACGCCATTCTCCTGCCATAGCCTCCCGAGTAGCTAGGACTACAGATGCCGCCACCACGCCCAGCTAATTTTTTGTATTTTTAGTAGAGACATCTTTTCATGGTGTTAGCCAGGATGGTCTCGATCTCCTGACCTCGTGATCCACCTGCCTTGGCCTCCCAAAGTGCTGGGACTACAGGCATGAGCCACCGTGCCTGGCACCACACTGTTTTTAGGTCACTTTTGTTTGAGATGGAGTCTCGCTCTGTCACCTAGGCTGGAGTGCAATGGCGTGATCTCGGCTCACTGCGACCTCTGCCTCCCGGGTTCAAATGATTCCCCTGCCTCAGCCTCCTGAGTAGCCGGGACTACAGGAACGCACCACCACACCCAGCTAATTTTTGTATTTTTAGCAGAGACGGGGTTTCACCATGTTGGTCAGGCTGATCTCGAACTCCTGACCTCTTGATCTGCCCGCCTCAGCCTCCTAAGGTGCTGGGATTATAGGCAAGAGCCACCACACCTGGCTTTAGGTCACTTTGGGAGCTGGCCAGAAGCTGATTTTTTTTTTTAAAGCCTTTAATGGCAATGATTAATGTAAATTTTCTTCCTCCTCCCTTCCCTTGAACACAGCCTCGGCATTCTTCTAAGCTTCAGTGTTTCCGTGGCTATCAGAGTACATATGTGAGATAAAACTTATTCCACATCGCTGGGTTAGGCTGTAACAAGTTCTGGGAGATACTGATGTAGGATTAAACTATAATAGGCATTGGAAACAGCCAATTGGTAGCTCCTAAGATCTTGGAGAAAATGGAGTCGATCCCTAATTGTGGGAACAGCAAATTCTACTCCCTAAAATGAAAGAGGCTAATGGAAAACTTATGATTAGAGTTCTTCCCACATTTCCTCACTAGAGCAAAGTATTTGTCTTAGGCATGTGTGTAATTGTTGCATGACAGCATCAAGATACCCTATGTGGGGGCTGTGTGAGAAATCACTATGCAGGATGCACTCAATGTTTCCCCGTGTTGTGAGAGAATTCCTCTTCTATTTGACAACACAGATGTCCCTCACAGCACATGAAGGCTTCTCAGATACTTTCCAGACATCCCCAGAACAGGAGATAAATGGGTACAGAACCTTTTTATTACTCTGTTCTGCTGAATACAAGTCTTAGGAGAAAGGACTGTATCTTTGGAATCATGAAATTATTATGTATAAAACACATAGTATGATCGAGAACATTAGGCCACAACTTCAAGGCTGCAGATAGAGGAGAACATTAGTATCTAGAAACACAGAGGCCTATAGCGAATTTGAAAGGACTACAGTTTCATTCAGCAACGAACAGCTGCGGTTTGTTTCTAGAGCTGGTGAATTCCCCTCAGGCAGTGACTTTTGTAAAAGGGGACAAAAAAGGTTTCCACTCCTGAACACTCTCAAGGTCCTTTGCTGCACTCTCACATTTCACCCAAAGCCATAAGGGCAGCCTATTTACTCTGAAACTGCGTATCTTTGATACAGCTTTGGAGGGGATTATTTCCAAGAACTACATGTCATGCTGCTCCCTACCCTTTGCCATTTATTACAACTGAACCCTCAGCCACACTGCAGTGTAATCTGCCAAAAAGGAATAGCTACTAAACTGAGAGCCCTCTTTGTCCACGAGGACCCAACTTGTGCTGTACTAATGTGGAAGGGAAACCATCCAAGATTTTCAACGAGTAGGTTTGAGGTATGCACCATTATAGACACAAACTGTCTTACGGTGATAGCCGGCTAGAGGTATCCTGTGCTACATTTTGAGAAACACTTGAAGCCACAGAGCTATTTCTCTTTCAAACATATTGACACCACAGATGTGAAGAAAAAAAGCACACACAGTTAATGAGCCCACAGCATACCCAAATGCTCTGAGAAGTTAGCCAAAACCGAGAAGAAAACTATTAACACTAATCTGGATCAGGGAATAGGATCAGTATGAACAGCTCAACAACTTGACAGCTGTAAATCAAAGTCAACCACAAGGCAACCTAGGAATCTCCCCAAAGACGTAGTAAGTAGTTTAGGCCAAAAAAGTATGGGGAAATTTGTTCTCAAAGATTTCATTATCAGTAACATGAAAGTAGAAAGAGAGACACTATATTGAGGCACTGAAATAGATTTACTATGTTTAGTCTCAAAGGCCTGTATCAAGATCTTGTCTGGGATTTGATTTAAAAAAAAATTTTTTTTTTGAGCTTCCACTAGAGAAGTATAAAAAAAAATTGTTTTTAAGGTTTTAAAAAACTCTGGGAAAGATTATGGACAGACAAGACAACTTAGATTGTTTCCAGTTATTCCTCAAATATGAAGTTATAACTCTTAAATTTACCTTAAGGTGCATAAGGATTCAAGTCTGGTGAACAGAGATGGGATGAAGATACCTAGTTCCCACTGATCTCATGACCCCGTTATAAAAAGTAGATTCTTAAAAAATATATAAATGTGTACAAAATACATTAACACATACACATAAACACACTTATATACATTTTGCAGGTCCATTACAACTTTGCATGATTGCTCTTCCATAATCATTAATGACATAAAAACTTGTCCCAAGTCCAACTATTCTCATGCCTGCTGCAGAGATGAAGCATTTGGTTCAGGAGTATGAATGAATTAAATATATGACTACAGGTAATATTTTTGGTGACAATGAAAGTGGCTATTTAACACAGCAGGATTTTGGCCTAAGCTTTGGCCTGTATTTACGACTACATAAGTTTGGAGATTACAGCCAAAAAAAAGACTGGAAATTCAGAAGGAAAGTTTTTTGTTTTGTTTTGAATAGTTTTACTCTTAAGGCATCTTTTTGTGTGTTATGAGATGACAAGCAAAATCTGCCACCTCAGAGTGTTCTCTTATATTCCTGTAATGGTGGGGAGAAGATTCTGGTTCTTACCTCAGAAAAGAAAAAGCAGAACTTATTTCAGGAACATCAAGGTAGTACCTGTCAGAGAGAAAAAGTTCTGATAAACCTACCAGGAGGCGTGCAGGCATCTGCAGGAGACTGAACAAATGTGGATCGCCTTTTGGTTGGCATGGGCAAAGCCATCTTCTGTTCTTTATGCTTTGCCAGTGCAGCCTGAACTGCTTCTGTGTGGATATCTGAAAAATTAAACATTTGCATTTATCAGCTTCCGGCTCTTAAATGTGTTTACCACTGTGAGCTGAACTATCACTGCCTCAATTGTTTTAAAAAAAAAAAAAAGGTAAAGGGAATGTTCAGGTGATTTTTATTTATAATTTGATTAAGACCAATTAGAAATAAAAATCAAAAACAAAAATAAAAGAAGCCAAGGATAATTTTATGGAGGAGGAAAATGAAGTCCAGGATGATGTGTGACTGCTTAACATACCAGACAAAGAGTTGACAGAGATGTGGGGAGGTGGGTGGGGACAGAATACTGAGTCTAACATGCATCTGTGCCAGGCAGGAAATCCTGCCTCAAATGGAATGAGTGCTGTGCAGGTGCCTGGAGAACACTCATTATTTTTCAAGAAAAGAAGCTTAGGATTTTCTTAACTGTCTGAAAGAAAACTTTGTTGAGACCCCTCAGTTCTATGCCACAGGAAGAGAAGGATTGATTTTGATTTAGAAAAACATAAGGGCAGATGTTACTTGTTTGCCACTTTGGGCACAAAAAATTTCAGCTCTCTACTTGAATGTTTAATAGGAATCTCAAAATTAACACATCCAAAGAAAACTCTTCATTTTCTACCCCCACCCCAAAGCTCACTCTATAGTGCCACAAAATTAAATCATACTGTATACAGTATTGTATTCTGCTTTAAAAAACAAACAAACAAACAAAACCTCTTACAAAATCTTACTGAGGTAGATAACAGCTGAGGTAGCTTCCTAAGTCACAAAAAAGTTTCCTTTTGTCTAGGAATGGGCCTAATCCACACACAAACTATCCTTCCATACCTCTCTGTAAAGTAAATATACCCCTTATAAGAGCTAGACAATGAGGTCTTTTTGTTTGTTTTTTTTTGAATTTAAACTCTGAATCAGGAAACTGCAGGTCCTAAAATGGAATCACTTTAATGACAATGCGACAATGCCCTAGAAAGAAGGAAGGTTTTAAACTTCAAGGCTGAGATTTCCAGAGTTATCTATCCTTTCTAGGGGTTTCTCAAATGTTGATTTGTTTCTATGACCTACCTCAGCTATTTAAGGTAGCCTATGTAAGTTGGCCTATTTCTTTTCTTTTGAGACGGAGTGTCGCTCTGTTGCCCAGGCTGGAGGGCAGTGGCGCAACCTCAGCTCACTGCAACCTCTGCCTCCTGCGTTCAAGCATTCTCCTGCCTCAGCCACCCAAGTAGCTGGGACTACAGGTATGCGCCACCATGCCTGGCTAATTTTTGTATTTTTAGGAGAGACAGGGTTTCACCATGTTGATCAGGCTGATCTCGAACTCCTGACCTTGTGATCCACCCGCATCGGCCTCCTAAAGTGCTGGGATTATAGGTGTGAGCCACTGCACCTCGCCAGGCTCTGTTTCTTGCAACCAAAAAACCTCCACTAATACAACTAGAAACATCTCACTGTGTAAATACAGACCAATGACAAAAGTTTTAAGGGCTGCATAGTATTCCACTGCATGAATGTGCCATGATTTACTTATACAACTCCTTATTATCAGATACTGGGTTATTTCCAATTTTTGTAACTATTCATAGAAAGAATAATTCAGTATTTTCACCTTAGAACATGTCTATTTTCTTGGACTTAATTCCAATAACTGCTGAGATCAAAGTACATATACTTCTTTTTCCAGAAATGTTTCAAACTTATTTCCCAAAAATAAGGAACTTTCTCTTATAAAACCCCAGGACATTATTCAAAATCCAGAAAAACTGGCCTGGTGCAATGGCTCACACCTGTAATCCCAGCACTTTGGGAGGCCTAAGTGGGCAGATAACTTGAAGTCAGGAATTCGAGACCAGCCTGGCCAACATGGTAAAACCCTGTCTCTACTAAAAATACAGAAATTAGCCAGGCATGGTGGCATGCATCTGTAATCCCAGCTACTCAGGAGGCTGAGACAGAAGAATCACTTGAACCCAGGAGGTGGAGCTTGCAGTGAGCCGAGATCACACCACTGCACTCCAGCCTGGATGACAGAGCAAGACTCCGTCTCAAAAAAACAAAACAAGAAACCCCAGAAATTCTTGTTTTTTGTTGTTGTTGTTGTTTTGTTTTGTTTTCTTGAGATAAGGTATTGCTACGTATATTGCCCAGGGTTGGTCTTGAACTGGGCTCCAACGATCCACCTGCCTCAGCCTCCTAAAGTGCTGGGATTACAGGTTTGAGTCAATGAGCTCAGCCAAAATACAGAAATTCAACACTGATACAAACTATTATCTAACCCACAAACCATATTCCAAAATAGTCTATTATCCCAATAATGTCCTCTATAGGTTTTCCTCCCACCTTTTTTCCTGATCTGGGATCTACTGGAGGAAATCCTACTTAGTTGTCCTATCTCTTGATTCTCTTATAATCCAGGACTGTTTCTCAGCCTTACTTTTTCTTTTATTATCTTGATATTTTTTGTACAGACTAGTTATTTTGTAAAATGTTCTTTAATTTTGGCTTGATATTTCCTTATAATTAGTTTCAGGTTATACATTTTGGCAGAAATACCATAGAAATAATTTGTTGTCGTCGTCTTCTTTTTTTTGGTAAAGATGGGGTCTCACTACATTGCCCAGGCTGGTCTCCAACTACCAGTCTCAAGGAATCCTCCTGCTTCAGCCCCCAAAATGCTGCACTGGGATTATAGGCATGAGTCACCATGCCCAGCCAGAAATAATGTCTTTCTCAAAACATGATGTCAGAAGGTGTCTCGCTCCATTATGGTAATATAACTTGAATTGCAAAGTTGGTTAGTGTGGTGAATATGGTATCTGCCAAATAAACTCACTGTAAACTTACCATTCTTCCCTTTGCAATTAATAAGTAATTCATGGGAGGATACTTTTGAGACTATGTAAATGTTATATACTTTGTCAACCTTTCAACTCACTAGTTTTAGCACCCATTGATAATTCTTGCTAGAATCAATTTTTTTTTTTTTAATACAGATGGGGTCTCCCTATGTTGCCCAGGCTGGTCTCAAACTCCTGGGCTCAAGGGATTCTCCTGCCTTGGCATCCAAAAGTGAATAGGATTACAGGTGTGAGCCACTGTGCCCACCATTTTTTGAAAAATATTTTTTATTTTTAATGGAACATTTCATGAGTCTGTGTGTCATCGTTGCTCAGGGGTCATGTTAATCTTCCTTGTATCATTCCAATTTTAGTATATGTGCTGCTGAAGTGTGCACGGAATCAACTACTATATTACAATACAATAATTTTATAGCTCCACCATTTCTTCTATATTTATTAGTTGGTATGTATTATAAGAAAAAGCTTTCCAGGCCAGCACGGTGACTCATGCCTGTAATCCCAGCACTTTGGGAGGCTGAGGAGGGTAGATCACCTGAGGACAGGAGTTCGAAACCAGCCTGGCCAACATGGCAAAACCCCGTCTCCACTGAAAATACAAAAATTAGCTGAGCATGGTGACACATGCCTGTAGTCCCAGCTACTTGGGAGGCTGAGGCACAAGAATTGCTTCAACCTGGGAAGCAGAGGTTACAGTGAGCCAAGATTGTACCACTGCACTCCAGCCTGGGTGAAAGAGTGAGACTCCACCTCAAAAAAAAAAAAAAAAAAGAAAAAAAGCTTTCCTTTCTCCCCTAGTTATTTATATCAAAATGAGCCCACTGATTTTCATTTTATTCCATGACTATTCTGTTACTATCATTATTTTGATGCTCATATTTTTGCAGATTTGGCCAACAGGAGTCCCTTCATGCTGGTTCTTATGTCCTTTAGACACAGTTCCATCATTTTGAGCAGCTGTTTTATGACATAAGATATTTCATGCTCATGAGGTACTTTTCCCGCTCCAGACCTGAATTATACCTTTCTTCAAGGAAACGTGGCTCCTTTTAGTGAAGAATAAATGGTATTTAAAAACCAAGATCTTAGAAGCAGGGGTACTCAGTGCTATTGGGGAATCTTTTCTCTTTTTTTTTTTTTGAGACAGAGTCTCGCTCTGTTGCCCAGGCTGGAGTGCAGTGGCCGGATCTCGGCTCACTGCAAGCTCTGCCTCCCGGGTTCAAGCCATCCTCCTGCCTCAGCCTCCCGAGTAGCTGGGACTACAGGCGCCTGCCACCTCGCCCGGCTAGATTTTTGTATTTTTTTAGTAGAGACGGGGTTTCACCGTGTTAGCCAGGATGGTCTCGATCTCCTGACCTCGTGATCCGCCCGTCTCGGCCTCCCAAAGTGCTGGGATTACAGGCTTGAGCCACCGCACCTGGCCTGGGAAATCTTTTCTAAGCCCTTTTGGTAGATCAAGAAATTCATACACATAAAACTACATCTGTTACTAACTATATTTAAAATGATGAGTTCATATTAATACCTCCATTTCCAATTCAACATCATTCTAATTTTCCCTCTTTTCACTTATAATTCCCTTCTCTAATAGGATGAAACCTGGTTCACAATATTATCAATATATTTTACTCATTTCTCAATCCTACCATACACAGGAAGTACATTTTAAAAACTGTTTGTTTTTTATTTTTGAGACAGGGTCTCACTCTGTCACCCAGGCTGGAGTGCAGCAGCATGATCTCAACTCACTGCAACCTCCACATCCCGGGCTCAAGCAATCCTCTCACCTCAAACTCGTGTGAGTAGCTGGGACCACAGGTGCACACCCAGCTAATTTTTTGTATTTTTGGTAGAGATGGAGATTTACTGTGTTGCCCAGGTTGCTCTCAAGTTCCTGGGCTCAAGCAATCCACCCGCCTGAGTCTCCCAAAGTGCTGGGATTACAGGTGTGAGCCATTGCACCCAGCCAAAAATTACTATCTTATGTCAATATGAAAAATAAATCTTCTAACTAGTGTTCAGTATTTATTTGTAGTCCTTTTGGTCTTTAGACTGAGGACATATACTTAAAGTATCATGGTCAAAAACTGTTTGAGTTAGTTCTCATCCTTTCCTGCTTTGATGTGGTTACACATTTCACATAGTTAGGT